TTTCGCCTGGGCCGCAGGCGCCTGGGACCGGGGGCGGGGCGGGTTCGCCCAGGCTATGGCCACAGGTGCCTGGGACCAGGACTGGGGGCAGGGTGGCTTCACCCGGGCCTGGCTTTGTCAGGAAGGATGTCCGGAAGGTCGTCTGGAAGACGTCCCATCTAATTAGCATATTACCCTTTTATTAGTATAGATCCTTTTCCCAGGTAGTTTTGCCTGAATGAGGAAATTTTATAATGCATGAATCAGTCACATACATCTTTCCCAGCTTGGACAAATTTTATCACCTATTCCAAAAGTTCTGGAAATTTTTATTGCCTTCAGTGTTTGGCCTAGAAGGTGTATTGCCTTTACGTTATTTACACTATCTAAAATTACCGTATTTACTTATTTGTTATTCATTTTCTATTTCTCTCCACCCGAAGGTAAGATTCATGAGAGCAGGGTCACCGTATAGCCCTAGTGGCTAGCATATTTACTATTTTCTCAATACATACTTGTATGTGAATGGGTGAGTGATTAAGAAAAAAATATTTTACAGAACAGTAATGCCCAAGTTTCAGTTTAAAGTGGATCACGAGTGGGCTGCCAATCGATACTAAGCTCTCATCTGATCAGATGAGCAGAAACCTTCAAAACATGGCTATACTTGAACTTGCATGGGCAAAACCATTCCTATGCCTGGGGCCCAGGAAACTTCTTTTTGTTTTTAAGTCCATCCACAGTGATTTGCAGGATTGGCTAGGGACTGCTGTAACTTATTCCTGTTGCTAGTACTCTGTCACTGTGTCAAAAGACGTGTTGTCTCAATTCTCCTCGTACTTTCATGTTCCCCGTGGCTGAGTCACTCAGAGTGCTGGTGCACGCTGTCCCTGGACCATGATGAGATAAGGGTCTTGCTGAAGATAAATTAATGCACTTCCTTCGCTGAGAATGCCTTACTGTGCAGATATCAGCTAAACTGAACATCATTCCTGGCAGTCATGGATCTATGTTAGGGCACAAGGTCCCTATACTCTCTGGGTCAGTGTAGACTGCACCAGCTGTGGTTACTGGGCCAACACTGTGAGAAGCACTGCCTATGACCAGCTTCCCAACTAGACCAGGAGCTCTTGTCAGATATGATGGCTGCTGTGAGGCATGTAGTAGGTATTCAATGAGAACTTGATGGTAGGTTGCACTTTGGCTGGGATGGCTTACTCAGTACCAAGATCTCCGGATATCCCTTCATTCTTCATGTTTAATTATTCCCTTTACTGTCTCTGACCTGCAGAACAAAGTCTTCATCTACCGGGGGAAGGAGTATGAGAGGCTAGAAGACTTCAGCCTGAGGTTGCTGACCCAGTTCCCCAATGCCGAGAAGATGACCATCACCACACCCCCGGGAGAGGAAATCAAGTGCTCCCCGAAGCAGTGTATCCTTGCACAGGGAGACCTGGCACAGAGGCTCCGTACCGTAACCTGCTGCAGCCCAGCCCAGCTGGGAGCTCAGGGTTCCACCCCGTCTCTAAACTCATTAAACCACTTAGACCAGGGGTGGGCAAACTTTTTGACTCGAGGGCCACAATGGGTTCTTAAACTGGACCGGAGGGCCGGAACAAAAGCATGGATGGAGTGTTTGTGTGAACTAATATAAATTCAAAGTAAACATCATTACATAAAAGGGTACGGTCTTTTTTTTTTTTAGTTTTATTCATTTCAAACGGGCCGGATCCGGCCCGAGGGCCGTAGTTTGCCCACGGCTGACTTAGACTCAGTGTCCCAGTCTGTATGAAAGCTTTGAGACCCTAATGTCCTCATCTCGTGGTTATGAAGTAATCAAAGCGGAGAGATGATTCAAGCAAATCTTGAATATGAAAGGATATATTTTAGAGCCACATGGGAAGCTTGAAGAGAAAAGACTTGCTGTTCTGAATTCTGGATAAGGATGTATAGCTTTTTTTGTATAACATACCATAACTTATTGAAAAATCAATTACACGCATTATAAAAAAAAAAAGGAAAAAAAAACTAATACTAAGGGCTCCATAACAAAGTTACTTCTAAAGCTTTCTCATGGGTTTTATGCTAAAATAAAGATGTTTAAAACTGAACAGTGGTCTAAAAGGAGTAGATAAGGCAGAGCCAGTGTGGCAAGGTAGATAAGAAAATGGGCTCCATCACTATGTCACTTTGGGCAATTTACTTAAGTTATCTGTGCCTCAGTTTTCTCATCTATAAAATGGGGATGATCATCATTCTTCCTCTTGGGGTTCTTATAAGGATTGAATATGTAAATATATGTAAAATACTAGGAACAGTGCCTGATGCATAATAAAACTTCATATATATTAGCTATTATAGACATAGATTGGTAAATGGTGATAGAAAGAGATGATAATAATAGTTCAATGGACAGACATACCTTTAAGAGTAGTAGTGACCTGTTAACACAGTGGATGCTTGGAAAAGAAAGGTCTTCCAGGATAAGTCCTTGGGTTATGGGGGCTCAGGAAACAACAGAGGTGCCTTCATGGCGTGGCAGTGAAGGAGGTCTTCAAGAAGTGAACTTAGAAGCAGGAGCCTGGTGCTTGGTCTTCGGTAAGGTCTGCAGAGCCATTTGGCCTTGCCCAAGTTGCCTCAGTTACCCAGGCCTTGGTTTTCTCATCTACAAGGCTGAGGGTGAGTCTGTTTTCCCTAAGTACCTAATGGCACTTCTGTGAGGATCAAAATAAGGAGGTAATTTATAAACTCTAACAGCATAAGCCATAGCCAAGTGGTTCTCAGATTTTATTATACAGAAGAATCCACACAGAGAGATTCTAATTCAGCGGCTGTGAATTCTAATTCTGCGTTTTGAATTAAGTCTCTGGTGACTGCGGTACAGGTGGACTGCACACGTCACCTGGAGAAAGGCTGGTAGTTCTAGACCCAAGTGCCTTAACTTGCAGTTTAAATACTAGAGGCATTGAAACCTATACCTGCTCTGGTGAAGACAATGAAAGTCATTTCAGAGATCAGATCATTCGGTCAGAGAAGGAGGCCTTACCCCCGAGCCTGACTTCATTTCCCAGTGGTGTGGTCTGGGTTTTCTCAGATCCTCAGATTCTTCATTGGTAAAAGGAGAATAATGACCTGGTAGTCATTGTGTTTACTGAAGATAACATGTTCAAAACGCCTCATACTGTGCCCAGCCATGACCCTCGATAAACAAGTGGTGTCCAGAGACTGGCTACTTCAGAGGAATGTTGTCCAAAAGAAATGATTTAAAAGTTTCTAATCACTTTTTTAAAAATATTTAATTGCTATCTATGTTCCTCTGTTTTCCCCTGGGAAGGTTGTTTGCCAGGTGTCTGACCAAAACAATGTCCTAGGATGATGACTTAACGAGGCATGTAGGTAATAGGAAAGGGAGCCACCGCTCCCATGGGGTCCTGGCATTTGGGAAAGGGGAATGGTCCGTGCACGTGCCATTTCCGTCTGTAAAGCAGGAGGAGCAGGCGGCTTTCTCCTGTGGCAGCTTCATGGCCCATCCTTATCCTTCCTTAGCGAGCTCCTCAGACATGCAGTGTTTCACCGTCAAGCCAGTGATGAGCCTGCCGCCCAACTACAAGGATAAACCGGTTCCGGAGCAGATCTTAAAGTAAGCGTGTGTTCTTGTGTTTTAAAACACCTGTCTCACACCCTTTATCTAGAAGTACATCAAAACCAGAGTCTTCAATTCATTGCAGTTTGGAAGACCTTCTGTTGTCTTAGTAACAGAATGCAGGCTGCTGTAACAGAATTCCACAGACTGGGAGGCAGATAAACAACAGAAATTGATTTCTCACAGTTCTGGGAGCTGGGAAGTCCAAGATCAGGCGCTGGCACATTTGGTGCCTGGTGGGGCCTGCTTGCTGGTTCATAGATCTTCTCCATGTGTTCTCACGGGAAGGAAGAGTCGAGGGAGCTGTCTGGGTCTCTCTTTATAAAGGCACGAATCCCATTCATGAGGGCTCCACTGTCATGTCCTAATTACCTCCCAAAGGGCCCACCTAATACCAGTACACTGGGGGTTAGGATTTCAACATAGGAATTTAGGGGGGACACGAACATTTCGACCATAGTAACTGTCCATTGCATTTTCAGTACAAGACCTTGGTAATGCAAAGGGATGTGAGGATTTTGTTTTTTAAGCAGATGGAGGGAACTCAGGAACTTCACTCTCAGATCCTGTGAGTTCCACCCTTTGGGTCTCTAGAGCAACATGAAATTGGGCTCCCTAGCTCTTACGCTACTCAGCAGGCTCACTGGTCAGTACTGCTTATTCAGCCTGCCTGGTGAGTTCCCCAGTGACTGAAGGTCTAATCCAGCTGTGGGCAAACTACGGCCCGCGGGCCGGATCCGGCCCTTTCGGCTGTTCTATCCGGCCCGCGGAGCCGAAAGAGTGGAGGGTTCTCTTGCTCTCCCCTCCGCTCCTTCACCAGCAGCAGTGTTAACATGGCAACGTCGGGAAACATGGCCGCAGCTCCTCCTTCTGAGTGGGCGGATTTATATCCGCCCATTCAGTAGAAGGAACAACCTCTCAATCTTCCAGAGGCTCCTTATAATGCCCGCGGACGCGTCTCCCGACATCACCCTGGGAATGCGTAGACACATTATCGTGGTGATGTAGGGAGACATGCCCCTGGAGAGCACAGTATCAGAGCCTTTCTGAGGTAAGATT